TTCTGATTCCATACATTGTTTGTTACGTATTGATAGCCAGACAAGTACTTTTCTTTAAAAAATGAAAAAATGTTTGCCGTATTTCTTTGTTAAATTACTAAAGATGCTCAAGACTAGGGTTGTCGGTTTCACCAGATTCATTGGTTAACCGGAACCGAACCGACAAACCGAACCGAAAATCTTCGGTTCGGTTCGGTTTGAAACCAACAACCCTACTCAAGACTGACATCTCTAAGACCAAGCCAAGATTTCACCCCAAGATCAATACCGAAAAAAGCCCTAAGGAAAGTTTTGAATCAACCTTTACCAGAACCCCCTCTACTAAGAATAATAAAATTTCCCAGGGCAATTATTAAAAAAAATACGGCATTTTAAAATAATTTAAGATTTGTGATATTTTTTGAAGATATTTCTTGTATATAATATTTTTTGTAATAAAATTTTTTTTAAGAAATTAATTTTTTGTTTTAATTTGCAAATTATTATTTCCTTTAATAATTTAGTATTTTCTAAATGAGAAAAATATTAAATATATTTATACATATTTAGCAAACTAACAGCAAAACTACATAGATTTTTAGTTTTATTATATACCTAAGCAAACTATATTTATACATTTATGTTGCTAATATTTTTTATAACGATGCGGTTGTTATGTGACTGACTTTGTATATATTTTAAATTAATATTTAAAAACAAAATCTGCTTTAAGCCAGAATAAAAATAAATTAATTTTACCTATTAATAAAAATAAATATTGAGTTATTAATTTTTTAGAAGAATTTTTAATTAAATATAATAATTACTAGAGTTCGAACTTTTCAAAATGCCGGGCCCGGGACCCGGTTTTTTTTCCTCAAAATCGCACCCGGACCGGTTTTTCCGGATAAAACCGGAAAAACCGGTTAGCCCGGAAAAACCGGATTTTTTCAGACCCGGGCCCGGACCCGGTTTTTTCTAAATTTATTAAAAACATAAAAAAATTATCACACATACAAAGGATAGGAAAACATACAAAGGATCGATTAAAGGATAGATGAAATAGATGCGCTAAAGGATAGATAGCAGGAGTGTCCGCAAGTGAAAAAAATTTTCCACAGCCGCAGTCCGCAATTTTCAATTTAAAATCCGCAGCGCACTCCGCAGTCCGCAAGTAAAAAAACACAATTTTACGCAATCCGCAATTTTTGAAATAATTGGTAGTCTGGGAAAATAAGGGAATTTGAAGTATACGGGAAGCTTCTAGTGTTATCAGTGATTTGGAGGGATATAGAAGATTATGACTTCGAAAGGATTCATAGAGAACTCATGAGATTTGTAAGGATATTAAGGGATATCAGATGATTAAGCCCTCGATATACTTATTAATCCCCTTAATTTTTCTTCACTGTTTAAAAATTTTGAGAATTTTAGAAAGCCATGAAGCCAAATTTCTTCCTTTATTACCGCCGGAGGCGAAAATTTTGAAATTTTGAAAATCCAAGGGGCAGATTTATTTTTTGTTACCGCCGGAGGCGAAAATTTTGAGAATTTTGGAAAACCAAGGGGCCAGATTTCTTCCTTTTTCACCGCCGGAGGCGAAAATTTTGAAAAATTGGCTGGCCAAACAGCAATATTTCTTACATTTTTTGACTTAGTCAAAAAGACTCCGGGCCCGGCAAAAAATTACCGGGCCCGGGACCCGGTTCTTTTACTCAAAATCGCACCCGGGCCGGTTTTTCCGGATAAAACCGGGAAAACCGGTTAGCCCGGAAAAACCGGATTTTCTCAAAAATACCCGGTTCCGGGCCACCGGGCCCGGAAAAAACCGGTCCGGGCCCGGCCCGGGTTCGAACTCTAATAATTACTTTTCTCTTTTTTAATTTCTATTGTTAAATTAAATATTTTTTTTATTTTTCCTCTATTTACTTTAAAATAAAAAAATTCTTTAGAAAATAAAATCAAAAAAGAATTTGCTCATTATTAGTGCCAAACCCTCATTTTTATGTTATTTTGCTTCAATTCTCGGTTGTTGTGTTTATTTCCTCTTGGGAGTAATTGTAGGGAGGAACATTTTGAAGAAGCATTGATTTTGCTAGAAAAAGCTTGTTCTCTTTTTCTCTTTTATTTTATTCATTTTTATTTAAATTTTAAATTGCATATTTAAATATATAAACAAAAAATGTTCATAATTGATATGAAGTTAAATATTAGGTAATATTGGGATTTTACGACCCCCTTTTCTTCTGTCTCTTTCCCTTTTTCAGAGGATTACAAGTCGGTTTTTCTTCTAATTTAAAAGTATCTTTTTAATTTCCAATTTCCGACTTCCGTCACTTCAGGCAACCCAACTTTGTCCGGGAATAGAAATTCGGCTCACAATGTTGATACATGGAACTAACTTGTTCTGACTTGTTTCCGCTCAGATTTCAATTTCGAAACGAAAAATTGATGTACTACATATTATGATTTTATTTCATGGGCCTTTTAATCATTTGTAATTATTTTGAGAAGAAAAAGAAAATAAAGATGGAACTTTTACAAAAATTATTTTAAATCAATTTAAATTTCCATTAATGCTCAATGCTACAAGATTAGTTATTATGTACAAGAGGTTATACATACAAATAAATATTACTTTAAAGATAAAATTTGACATTTTTAGGGACGATAAAACGATTTTTTGCCTTTAATACATATTTTCTATTTAAATATTTATACATAAATTTCCATATTTCTCTCCAAACTTTAACTTGTTTATTTTTGCTCTTCGGCATTTCCAAACAATAAAAACAAAATTCACTCACCCATTGTCAAATAAAAATAAAAAAGGAAAACAAAGGCTTTAGACTAGCTCTCTCATGCAATTTTAAATTTTTGGCAATTTTAAGTATTGTTTCTTTTTTTTTGGTTATATTTTGGAAGAAATATAATATTTATTTATTTTAATATTAAAATTCTGAAATTTATTTTTTAACATTTACAGGTCTTTAAAATTTAAAAAATATTTTTTCCTCCTCCCTCTTTATTTTAAAAGATTTAAGATAATCTGAGAATTTTTATTTAAAAACAATTGAATGGAATTCCCACAACAAAAGCAATTATTTACTTCAAATAATTTTTCTTCCTCCTCTTTAAAAACAATTCTTAATAGCAGTCATCGTTTCCGAGAATTGAAAAAATTCCTTTGGCAAATTCTTCCTCAATTTGACAGCATTCAATTAGGCCAATTTGTTTTATTATTTGCAGCATTAATTGGCTTTTTTGTAAGAAAATAAATAAAAATAAATAAAAATTATATTTTAATATCTATACATTAACAACCCTCAGACTATTTTTATTAAAAAATAATTTTACGAATTATAGGTATTTTAAGAATTATTTTAAAAATATAAATAAAATTAATTAAATACTAAATAATAAAAGCATCCAGGCCCAATAGTTTTTTATCATTTTTCTTGCAAAGTTTCCGATCTCTCTACTGAATAACTAATTATTATAGCTAATTTAGACTTTCTTAAAGTCTAAATTTAGGCTATTTTCGTAAATATATTCTTTAATAACTTTTATCTGTTTATCAATACAATTTCTGTTTTTTGCTGCTTAACTTTAGAAGTCGACTCTGCAGGCTTTTTTAATAATTACTAATTCATAAAATATTTTCTAGAAATTACTATTTATTTTAATTTATTAGTTAATAGGCAAGCATACAAATTAATAAATAGTGCTCATGTTATAGGTAAAAAGGAGAGGAGTGTTATAATAAAAATATATAGGAAAGATGATGGGAGAAATAAAAATACTATGGTTTTTTATAAAAATCTCTCCCTCTTTATTAACTGATACTTTTCTTTAATAAATTTGTAATATTTCATTAAAAATTCACGTCTCGGAAACTTACCTGGCTGGGGCGCTCATGCGATCAAGAAGGCCTGGCGTCTGTGGTGAGACTTCCCCATTGCACTTGAGGGCGAGGTTGACCCGCAGGGCGGCTCCGAACTGGGGTAGGCCCACAGCTAAATTTTTGAGTGTGGGGGACAGCGTTCGCGCTTCCCCCTTAAAATCTGTTGAAATTTAGGAGGAATTTAAAATCACCCCTTAAAAATCATTGTTTATTATATGTTTTTGCAACTTGTTTTATCCGAAAAAAATTTTTTGAAATAATTAACACTTTTAGATAACCTTTGAATTTTTTTACTTTTAAGTTTTTGTTAATGTTTACAATTTGTTGTTTGAATTTACCATGCAAACGTTCAAAAGAATCTAATAAAAGAAAGCAGCCTTACTCCTCTAAATATGAAAATGGCCTTTTTAGTTGTAGTAATGAAGAAAGAGTATGTTTTTTGGAAAAATAATTTTTTAATTTTCTCAGAATTATTTAAATAATTTAAATATTTTTATAGCGTCGTCTTTTAATTACTGATAAAACATCTGTCCCAGTTCTTTCCAAAACATCAACTTCGTTGAAAAATGATCTCAATTCAAATATTGATGAATTAAATAAACAAAATTATTTGAATGTACATATAATTTTTAAATTTAAATTTTTAATTTCAAATACCCCCCTTTCCTCCCAAAATAAATTAAAAAATTAATTTCAATTATTAGACAAACTCTATTAAAGAAGAAAATCAAATTCTCACTCCAATAAGTCAACAAAAAAGAAATTTAATAAAAAGTGATTTTCATATAAATAACCAACAAAGTGATTATGGCTTTAAACGTTCAATTACTTCAAATATTGCTGAACAAAGCCCCCCGCCCCCCAGAAGATTGGCATTGCCTGGAGGGAAAACACAAGTTTTGCCTTTAACTGGAGGAAATAAAAAAAGAGTGCCTGCTTTGGTTTGTTGTTTAATTTTTGAGAGAAAATCAATAAAAAATCTCCGACATGGGAGGGCTTTGGAGGGATTTTTAAGGAGGCAGCGCCGCCAGTGATAATCATAGTTAATTTGAAATTATCAAATTAATTCAAAAAAATTCCAAATTTCCAATTCTAAAAAAATTCAAAGATTTTACTCATGGCTGATCGAGAAAATCAAAGACACATTCCTCAACAAGATAATCGTACAAATAATTTTTGTGAAACAATAAAAGAAGATATTACAGAATTTGATCAATCAACAACAATTAGTGAAGGAATACTTTCTATTGACAGAGTAAATAAATGGAAATTAAAATATTTTTAAAGTAATTTTTAAAATATTTTTAAGACACTTATTTCTAACTCAACAGCTACAAATGATCATTTACTTGCAATTCCTGGATATTTTAAACATTCTAATAATTACATGTTTAGACTTTCATCCCCTTTACCTAAAATATATACTCCTCCCAAATATGAGGTTATTTTTTGGTGTTATTAAAAATTAATTCTTAATTTTAGATACCCCCTCCAAGTTATTCACCTCCAGAGCCTCCTACTTCTAATAATGAACAGGAAATTAATATAAATAATTTACAAAGCAATAATGTGTCGATAAGGTCTGAATTCTTAATTAATAAAGAGCCCGCCCTTAGAGATTGATTGATACGATTAAATAGAAAAAATCGAATCGAGCTGGGCTCTAATAATTAGCTAGAAATTTCGTGTTTGGTGGATATTAGGCATTGATTCAATTTTTCGATAATGAGAAAAAAGTATTGGATATTTTTGGTTGAATTTTTTACTCTTTACATTTGAAAAATATCAAGTATTTCTTTATAATATCATTAAACATTAAAACCCATAAACAAATATTATTAGAGTTCGACATTTTCAATTTGCCGGGCCCGGTATCCGGGGTTTTTTCTTCCAACAGACCCGGGCCGGGTTTTCCGGGCTAAAACCCCGAAAACCCTATTTTATCAAAATACCCGGGGTCCGGGCTACCGGGCCCGGAAAACGCGGTCCCGGCTCGAGTTCGAACTCTAAATATACTAGAAATACTAGACCTAATTAGAATATTAAATTATTTTCTGAAAAATTATTTTCAGTTGTTGTAGTTATGTAATAAATACAACGACAACTGATTCTTCTGCTTTATCTTCTCAAGTTGTTAATAATAATTTAAATATTATACAAAAATATTTAAATAACAATGAGGAAAAACAACAAATAAATAATAAAAGTATTTCTGAAAATGTTGATGCTGGTTAGAATATTTAAATAATTTAAAAATAATTTTCCAAAAAAAATACAGAAATGGAAACATTAAGTGAATTAGACGAAACATCCTCACCTATTTACCCTCATTTATACAAAGAAATTGATGGATTACCTCATTTAATTGTTCAGAGCTTAATAATTGGTGGGCGGGTTCCTCGAAGTATTTCACAACAATTAGAAATGATGGATGAAATGTCTGCCTCAAATAATACATAATATTCAAAATTAATATAAATTTATTTTTTTAATTTAAATTATTAACTATCAACTATAGAGTAACATTATGTCAATATCTAGTAATATAAATAAACTGTTTAGTATCACACTGCCAAATTCAAAGTCTAAAACCTAACTGCATAATTATGGAAAAAACAAAACACATAAGAAAACCAACGGTTGGCTCAATCGCGTTGTTTAAATAAAATCAGTTTTCTTTTGAACCTAAAATAAAACAAAAGGTGACTGATCATTTCGTCAATGATGAGTTAGTCAATGATTAGTCCGTCAATAAAATAGCGCCATATTTAAATTTTTCAGTTCGTCAATGTTGAATAGAAAGGAATAGGAATAAATATTCCTTTCTGTTAACTTAAGTAAAAACCTTATGTCAATATTTGTATTGTAAAAAAATATGAAAAGATAAAAGAAAAAATAATTTTTGAAAAGATAATAATCTAAGATGATGACGTAAATATGTAGCAGCCCCCAAAATTAATTAATCTAATAGTAATGGAAAGCTTAAGAGAAACGGCTATATATCTTCGTCAAGTTGTAATTTTCGATAGTTATTTGCAAAATTTGAAAATAAAGATGTCGATCTTGTTCGTTATCTACGAACAATTTCATATCATTTAGCTGAAAATTAGCGTTTTTCTGAAAATTACTATTTTACAATACCGTACATATATGCTCGAATAATTACCCTGGGTAGTTATTGTTAATTATTAATTAATTATATCACTCGCTGGTGGGGGGTAATTAATCGAGAGGATGTGCTGAATTTGGGGTATACATATCTCAATAAATCAATGAGGAAATCTATTTATTTTTGATATTGATTCTTATAATGTTTTAATAATTTAAATTGACAATGATTTTTTCAATATTCTTAAAATTAGATAGGGAAAGGGAGGGGGTAATTATTAAAGAGGGTGACTATTTGAGAGAGGGTAATTATTCGAGAATTTGCGGTATATTTTTAAAAAATTATAACATTGACGAAATTTTGATGGATAGGTAATTTTGACGGATAGGCAGAAATTTTGACGGGTAGGTAAGAACCAGGGCTGGTCGAAATCAAAAAATAAAAAGCGAAATGCGAAACTTTTTTTAAAAAATTAAAAAGCGAAATGCGAAACTTTTCGCGCTAAAAAATGCGAGAATGCGAAAGATGCGAAAGCGAAAGCGAAATTATTTAAAAATTTTAAAAATATTTTATTCGTATTCAAAATTATAAATTACGAGATTGTGATGAAAAATAAAAGCATTAGTGCATTTTTTGAAGAAGACTCTTCTTAAGATTGCTTATTATTAGCGCCCGGCACCGGACTGGGCTCCAGGCCGGCTTTGCCTAAATCCGGGTCCCAATCGGATTAATCCAGAAAAATCCGGCCGGGTCCATTTTTCATCTTTTTCCATGGACTTTTTAATTTTTCCATCAAACTTTTCACATTTTAATATACTGATATCCATCTTAATCTCAAATCCCTTTCCTGCGCTGCAGGCGAGAATTTTGAGAATTTTGGAAGTCCTTAAGTCAGAGCTCTTCCTTTTTGAGCGCCGCAGGCAAAAATTTTGGCAATTTTGGAATGCCAAGAAGCCAGATTTCTACAATTTTTGTCAATAAATTTGGTAAAAAATATGGTAATAGTTTGGAATTCGCCCCCCTTTTTTCACTGTTTCCCTGACCATTTTGAGCTTTTTTGTTTGATACATAATTTATCATATATTGTTCGAAAGAGCTCTTCGAGCGTGGTCGAATGATACCATGATTTGCCAAATCTGATCAATCTTACCAAAATTATGAAGCCAAATCCTAGTTTGGGCAAACTTTTTGTGTCAATGCAAAGGGATAAAATAAACGGTCACAACATTGTTTACTTAAGTCGGATTTCGTTGATCTTAACGTCATTCGACTCAGCTTGAAGAGCTCTTTCGAATGATATATAATTTGCCATAAAATGAAAAAAAAACTTAGAAAAAATAGAAAGGAAAAAAAGGGGGGGCGAATTCCAAACTATTACCAAAAATATTACGAGTCTTGTTCGAGTCGTGCCAGATATGATTAATATTTTATAAAACAAATTTACAATTTAAAATTAAAGTTTAAAAACATTTATTTTTGGAAGAAAAAATTGTTTAAGTCTTATTTCCTATGTCTGGATTCGAACCCATCCCCAAAAAACACCAATATGAACGAAGTCAGTCAATTTAACCACTCCACCATCAACCAACGAAAGCAAAGTGACAGATTATAAATATATGTATTTCTTTTCCTTTTCCTTTAAAAATTTCTATGTCAAAATATCTAAAAAATAAAAAATACTAAATGAAAAAGGTGAAACAAATTTCGCATTCGGACCAAAAAGCGAAATGCGAAACTTTTCGCGCCAAAAAATGCGAGAATGCGAAAGATGCGAAACGCGAAATTGCGAAATGAGCCCAGCCCTGGTAAGAACGGTTCTAGACCCAGTGAGCGCAGGACCCGAACATGAAGAAATGTTTTGCAACCATACCCCTACTCTGCAACACCAAGAAAAATACAATTATTTTTTGATTGGACTCATAAAGAGAAGTAGAACCCTATTTTTTAAAATACCGTATTTATTCTAATAGTACTACGTCTCTATTTGAACCACGGTCTCTAATATAACCACATCGAATGGAGAGTTGAAAAATACAACCACAGTCTCTAATATAACCACATATCTCTCATACTCTTAAATACATAAGTACTATAATTCTCGTTAACCTTAACAAATCCAGGAAAGCCCATGGCATATTCAGTAGGAGAATTTATGAGAGCTAAAGTGTCGGGGGATTATGAGGAAAATGAGATAAAGTGGATTATGAGGAAATATAGAAAGATTTGGGAGGACTAAGAAGATGAGGAGAATTTGATCTATACGAGGATTTGGGGGATTGAGAATGATTAAGATAAATTAAGAGGTTGTGAATTTTTACAGAATTAATAGGAATCCAATTCTCTTGCTATACCAGTGTATCAACTCTAATTGTTCCCTTATAAATGCCTCCATTCCAAAACTTTAATATAACAACGAGGTAGGAGTTCTTAGTAAATTTCTTAGGTTCTCTTACTAGGAAACCGAGTTGAGGGTTAGATCTTATTATAGAAAATCGACATTCTTGTTAAATCTGGCGCCGCAGTCGAAAATCTAGAGAATTTTGAATCGAGAAACCACCAAATTGATTAAAAATTATAATTATTTTTGGAGAATATGACAAGAAAAATTCTCAATATTTTTCCTATTTTTCCTAAAAAAGATTGAAAAATAAAGCCACAGTCTCTATTTGAACCACAGTCTCTAATATAACCACAAAAATCGAAGGGTTGAAAAATAGAACCACTGTAGTACTATTAGAATAAATACGGTATTTTGTCATTTTTAATAAAAAAATAACACAACGCCAAACACAAGGCCAAAATTCTTTCAAAATTCAAAGCTGCGAAAAAACAGACGGGTACAGCCCGAATAGTTGCGGGCCGAATAGTCGCGGCCGAAAAGTCGCGACCGAATAGTCGCCGGCCGAATAGTCGCGAGGCCATAGAGTCGCCGGCCGAATAGTCGCCAAGCTTATAATTAAAGGTATGATGTTATAATGTCAAAAGCTTGAAATACAACAGCATGTAATGCAAAAAACTTGTAATGCCAAACCCCCAAAAATGTCTAGAATACCATAGTGTTGTTCCAACGACTGGGGATGTTGTTCCAATGACGGAGGAAGTTGGTCCGTCAACGGGGGAAATTGTTCCAATGACGGGGGAGAAATCCCGGATCACGAAATTCAAAAAAAATCCGGGATTTCGGGATCGGAATCACGGAAAATCCCGTCGGGATCCATTCCCGCGCCGGTCTAATTACAATCAGAATATTTGATTATAAGCTTGGCGACTATTCGGCCGGCGACTATTCGGTCGCGACTTCTCGGCCGCGACTATTCGGCCCGCGACTATTCGGGCGTGTCCCAAAACAGACAGATAATTTAAAAGTTAATGTACGATTCTTTTGTTTTTATTTATATTCATACAATTTATAAATTAAAACATATTTTTTACTAAACGTTACTTTTAAAACTACTTTTAAGTTCCTACTTTTAAAATTTTCTAATTACATTGTTAGATTTTAGTAACTTTTTCTTGTTTTAAAAATGGGACAATTTCAAAGTGCAGAAGCAGATCTCAGAATTTCTCCTAAAAGAGTTGTGGTTAATCCGAGTGGAGATACTGAATTTTTGCAGGTTCAAAATATCGGGCAGGTAAAACACGATTAGTTTCTGAAAACATGTTTATTTCAGAGGAAATTGGCTTTTAAGATTGTGTGTGTTAATAATATTGAATATGGTTTTGTACCGGTCCATGGATTCTTTAAGCCGGGAGAAACAACAGTGATCAGAATTAGTCGCAGTGTTAGTTATAATAAATTAATATAATAAATTTTGTCATTTTAGGACGGGCCGGCCAAAACTGATTATTTCCAAATTTGTCTTCTGGATGCAAAAGATGAGGATCACAATGCCGAAAATTTGTTTGGGCATTCAAATTATGGTATGGAACAAATTAAAATTTTTCTGGAGGCTTCTAGCAGCGTAAAAGAACAACTAATTGCATCAAAAGAACCTCCATCCCCGGGTGATTAAGTTGATAAAATTGCTTTAAAAAGGTTTTTTGTTTAAAAAAATAAAGTTGTTATCATGTATGCTTGTTTTTAAAATATTTTGTATATTTTTTCTGGTTGGAATACACCGAATAATATTTACATTTTTTAATCATATTTTTTCATTTTTTAAAATTGAAATTGAATTACTTTATTTTGTCTTCTGGATGCAAAAGTGTTGTGTTGCCCACCTCAAGCATTAAATCCTTACCCAAATGCTCAACAATTTTGAAATAAGATTTGATAAACAATTACAAAAGTTAGTTGCATTGGATGAAATGTGTAATTTCAAGGACTCTGATGTTGATTTTCTTCAATTAGTGATGAATGTTTCCTATCAAAGCATTGATAAAACAAGTTAGTACTCACGATATTTTTATTTTCTTTTATTTTTTTAATAGACGACTCTTCAAATAATTTTGGCGTTGTTGACTCTGCAAATGTAAAGTTACATTGACGGGCTTTATTCGAATGTCAACAGCACTTCTCTTTCAATTCGTTCTTTGAATCGTTTTGGTCTCGGTTCAAGGCGTGCACATAAAATAGATTCTGAGAAGCTAGCTGTTGAAACACTTACACAAGTGGCACCGGATGTCGGGAATTTACTCCTAGCTGGCGATACGGTTTTTTTAATTTAAAAGTCTAATGTTAATTTTTATTTAATTTTATTTCAGATAGATTTATTGTTTCGTCATAAGTTTGCTTCTTGGCGTCGCTGCTTTCAAGATACACTTCATTTGGCCGAACAACTTTCTCCTTCCATCTAGGATAATTTATGTGGCACTACTGAATTTGGATTATATTGGATTTTACGTGCACTTAATGGACTTGCTACAAATGGTGCTTTAGAGGTCAAGCGTTTACATTTAGTTTCTAAATGTTTTGAGACGGAGTTAGAGAATCTGATGAGACCGAAGGTTAATATTTATGATTTATTGTTTTAATTAAATTTACTTAGGATAATTTATCTGCATTTACCCATAAACAAATAACTGAAAAATATGTACAAAATTGGGATTATATTAAAAATATTCTTCAAATTGTTGATCGGATTCGAAAGCTTTCTTGTTGTCCAAAAGAACATTACAAGCAAACTTCTCATGATTTGGGAAATTTATAGGAACCTCTTGGAATTCTTCGCCAATCTGATTTACAGTTTTCTCAATTAAATAAAAATGTTGATGACTTGCTCGCCATTATAACAAAACTTTGCAAACTCAATGAGAATGAAAAAGAATTTATTTTACATTTACCTGTTATTTTTGAAGGAGAGAGCAATATTTTAGAGGAGGATATTTGGAATAAGTATTTTTTAATATAAATCATATAAATAGCATTATTTAAAATTTGCAGAACCCATTTGTCTACATATTCGCAAAATTTCTCTTTGTTACACGAAGATCTTAAATCTATCGTTATGACAAATAATATTCAGCACTATTTTCCTGAGGATTCCATGCGGATTTGTGAAATTATTGACAAAATTTCTTATGCGATCAAGAGCTTAATTGAATATTTTGGACAGAATACATTTAAGGTTTTTTTGATTTGTTATTCTTTATTTTATATATATCTATTAATTTTAGGCAAGCAACCTTATCAAAAATTTTCTAATCATTTTTCTATCGTCTTCAATTCAATCCGAAACATCAATTGATTTACTCAACAAATTATCTACTTTAGCCAACGGCGTTCACAAATTATATGATTCTTCTAATTTTATTTTAAAGTTAAAGAATGGAACGGAAAATAATTTAAATGATAATCAAGATGTCGATAGATCGAATGAAAACCCTTCTGATGACCAACAAAAGTTGCCCGAAGTTGATAATCCTATTGATGTAGATGACGATTTTGCTGTGTGTATTGAGGGATTAGATGCGCAAGATGGTGAAGAGGAGGAGAATGGAGATGATAATAATTGTTGGTTTTATTTTCGACTTTTTTATAAATTAAATTAAGGTGAAGAAGATCCGAATGCTTATTGGAATTTTGGTGAAGTGGACGAACCAGAAGAAAGACAGTTGGATCCAAAGTTTTGGGAACGAAATGAAAGCGACGAAAATGAACAGGAATTGGAAGGAGATGATAATGTTGGAAATGGTAATTGTGTTTTATTGGTTAATTTATAGAAAATAATTCTTAAAGGGGCTGATTCGTTAACTGAAGATCTTGTTGCTGCTCAACAACAAAAACAACAGAAAGGTGACGAGAATCAAGAAAAGGGAGAAAAGTCTTCAGACACTTATCAAAGTGTGCATGGACCGGTGCATGGATTCTTAAAGCCGGGAGAAACAACAGTGAACAAAATTAGTCGCAGTGGGGAGCAGGCCACTTTGACGCAGCCCACTTTGCCGCGCCCATTTTGACGCAGCCCACTTTGACGCGCCCATTTTGACGCAGCCCACTTTGACGCGCGCCCACTTTGACGCAGCCCACTTTGACGTTCGCCAACTTTGACGCGCTCCGATTGATTGAATACAATAAAAATACAGGGGCATGTAAAAAAATAAAAAAGAACAAAATATATTTATATAAAAATAATTTATTTTAATCAATATTAAAATTATGTGAGATTCCACGTAAAAAATCTAAAACTGTATCAAAATCATAATTATTGCAAATTCTTAAAATTCTTTCATCACATTCCAAATATTTTGCTCGCTTCCGGGGTGGTTCATGTCCAGCAACTTGCAGTTCAATATCAGTATCAATAAGTGCAAGGAATTTTTTGAGAGAGTGTAAAAACAACCAAAGAGAGGGGTGGGACATACCAAGTGCACGTTTAATTTTTCGGTTACAAGCTTCACTATAATTATTTGTGCGGTGAATATTTAAAAGAGTGCGATTGTATACATTCCAAAGTGGGGGAGGAAAGATTGGATTTGCGCGAGTGCCATTACCGCGTATGCGGCCAATGTAAGTGGATACAAACCATGAGATAAGAGGTTCAAAACGATCGTCTAAATGATTTTCTAAAACATTGAGAGCATTAATAACATCATTTTCGGGAACAAAGGCTAAGGCAATAAGAATTTTACATTTTAAAGCGAAGTCAGGGTCAGTATTATATAGATTCAAAAGATTAGATTGAGAGATATGTTTTTTGAGATTTTGACGAAGATGAAAGAAACAACAAAAAATATAAGATTCGGGGAAGCAAGTGCGAATAGAATTATGAATTGCACGTTCAAAATCACATGATATTGAATTTGGATAGAATAATGGCCACAGTTCCTTGATAAGATTGAAAAGGCGTGTGTAGGTTTGTTCAGTTTTGTCAGGTAACAAGCAAAAAAGCACCGGAAAGACAAAGCCATCACGTTTTGAAAGAATTATAAAAAGTTGATGGAAGAGAGGCGGACACACTTAAAAATATTCTTTTTCTGGAGGATTAATCACAAACTTACCAGAGAAGGTCCCGTCCATAAAAACATGCTCCATTTGGTTAGCCCATCCACCAGTTGCTTCACTTCCAAAAATGAGAATTCTGTTGTCACCACCGCTATCGGCGAGTAAAAAACGTTCTTGTTGTCCATTAAACTAAAAATATTGTTTTGAAAGATTTTGCCTACTCCCAACTTACTTCACGATTCATGTACTGCTCAGTGAAAATAATTTCAGCACGTGTAGGTGGGCTAGCAAGTGCGTTGTTTTCTTTCCTTCTTTGACGTTGAACAAGCTTTCGGCTTGCACTCGTACTAGGCATTTGCCCTAAATTATGATTTTTACATTTTTTAATTTATTAACAAATACCCAGAACTGCTAAAGGTAAGTTTTGCACTGCTGCTGAGCGTATTTGTGATGGTTTTTCCATTGTTGAGGCGCCTCTTTGTCGAATTCCACTCATTACCTTAAAAAAAGAAGTAAGGCACAAACTCTTAATTATATAACCTTTTGAACTCTAACTCTTGCCGCGTCACCAACTCCCGAGCAACTGTGTTCAGTGATTAATCTTTTAAATTCGCGTTCTTCTCCAGCGGTCGTATGAATGCGGCCCTTGCAACCAGTTGAGGCACGTTTGTCACAGCGCCAAAAAATCGTTTCACCATCAGTACTCATACGATCCATCGTGTAAATATACCCATTATAAGAGAATTTTTCTCTGTTTTTGTTTGAAAGAATACCCGCTAACATTATTAAGTTATTTGCGTAGGTATACTACATACGACCTTTTAACTAGATAAGCTGCGTCAAAGTGGGCGTGCGTCAAAGTGGGCTGCGTCAAAGTGGGCTGCGTCAAAATGGGCGCGGCAAAGTGGGCTGCGTCAAAGCGGGGTGTACCCGTCGCAGTGTTAGTTATAATAAATTAATATAATAAATTTTGACATTTTTAGAACGGGCCGGCCAAAACAGATTACTTACAATTTTGTGTTATGGAGGCAAAAGATGAGGATCACAATGTCGGAAAAAAATTATCTTTGGACACACAAATTATCGTATGGAACAAATAAAGATTTATTTGGAGGCATCTAGCAGTGTTCTTAATATAAATAGTATATGCTAGTTAAAATCTTGCTTTGTCTATGACATTCATATCTATTGCCTTTCTTAATATAAATAGTATATGCTAGTTAAAATTTTGGTTTGTGTTACGACCGGAGGTGTCCGAGATTTGACTGATGTTGATGTGCAATAGAATAACAATTTATCCGGTGTAGAAATAAACAATGTAGGCGAAGGTGGAAAGGGCTTTGAATTGGTTCATTGCAGGCTCAGAAGATCCATCAAGGATCTTGTCACTGCTCGTGTTTTGACTAATACTTGTCTATTGCAGGCTCAGAGGATCACCTTTTGATCTTGGCACTGCTTGACTTTTCATTGCAGGCTCAGAGGATCTAATTAGATCTTGGCTCTGTTAAGCATAATTTTGCTTTACTGAATTTCAATGAACTCAACTCCACAACACTAACATTTCTGCTAGTGCGCAGTTCGGTGCCGTTTTTCTGTGTACTTTTAGGATGGCTCGTGGTTGACTACTTTTACTTGAATACTACTACTAATTAATCACTCGAAGGATGTCTGATACATCCTGCCTTTTTCAAAGACTAGATACCGCAACACTTCACTGAACATACACTATGTGTAGTCTGGGTGATTCACTGACTAGGCTTCTTGGTCATCGACCTCAGCACAATTACAAACTTGATTTATTCTTTTGGTCTTACGCTTTCTTTGCTGCCAAATTTAACTTGAAATTTTATTTATTCAAAAATTAAAAATATACAATGAAAGGGGAGTAACACTTACATCATTGATAAAATAAATAATTTAAATGAATATATTTGGATAAAAAATAACAAAGAAAACGTTCTGTGATATTATTATTTTGTATAAAATAATTCCTAATTCTCTCTTTTTTTTGTTGTCAAATTCCATCCTTTGATTAATTGGAGAAACGTTGGAATTGACTTGAGAGCGTTTTCCAGTCATTTTTACCCAAGAATGTCAAAGAGCAAAAAAAAAGTTTAGAAAAATATCTAAAAAATAAATAAATTATATAAATTAAAAGTCAAGAGGGGAAAACACTAAAAAACGCATATATAAAAAATGGATATAAAGTAAATCTTAAAAAAAAGTTTCTAACATAATAAAGGTGGCACGAATTTTCGTCAATGGACTTTCCGTCAACGGACTTTTCGTCAATGAATGGATGTTTTTTTTAATTTTAAGAGAAAGAGAAGATGATACATGTATATAAAATGGTAAAACTTTCGGTTAAATTGTGTCAGATTGAAAATTAGACTGATTTGAAAATTCTGAACACCGTTAAGAGCAACTGAATTTTCGCTTGGCAAACTTATTTTTGTGTTGCTACGTACGATAGATAGGCTTTTCAAGGAATAAAGCGGTAAAAAGGAATAGGTTTATGCTACGAGCAAGAACCCAGCGACCGTTGACTCCCTGCGAAGCGCGGGGTTTTGCACAAACGCCTCGCCGTTGACCATAGGTTTACGTTGTTTTTTATTGTAACTTAATCTGCATATTATGGTAACTTCTTTTGCTATGCCATGTGTCTTTGCATGTCCTCCATGAAAACATATATTACATGGTTATTCGAGAGTATTTGAAGAAATAAGGGGTAGTATTCAGTAGAGATATGAATTTTGAAAAAACCGGGACCGGGAAACGGGTTAGGTTTTGATTAACCTTAAAATTTAGACCATTGGTACTCGCACTGAGTCCTTTTTGGGACACTGACTAAATACTGGTCCACTGCACTGATCTTAATTTTTTTGCCGATCACTACACTACGACGCAGTCCACACTACTCTTTCACTAATTGCTTATAGCAATTCACTACACTTCGCCTCATTACACTAATGCCACTCGTCTCCTTTGAAGCTGTTGTCGATCGTAGTTTGTAGACGAGCAGGAACCGTAGTCGACCGCGCCATTTGTTACGACCGGAGGTGTCCGAGATTTGACTGATGTTGACGTGCAATAGAATAATTTATCCGGTTTAGAAATAAACAATGTAGGCGAATGTGGAAAGGGCTTGGAACAGACATTCATATCTATTGCCTTTCTTAATATAAATATTATATGCTAGTTAAAATTTTGCTTTGTCTATGACATTCATATCTATTGCCGTTCTTAATATAAATAGTATATGCTAGTTAAAATCTTGCTTTGTCTATGACATTCATATCTATTGCCGTTCTTAATATAAATAGTATATGCTAGTTAAAATTTTGCTTTGTCTATGACATTCATATCTATTGCCTTTCTTAATATAAATAGTATATGCTAGTTAAAATCTTGCTTTGTCTATGACATTCATATCTATTGCCTTTTTTAATATAAATAGTATATGCTAGTTAAAATCTTGCTTTGTCTATGACATTCATATCTATTGCCGTTCTTAATACAAATAGTATATGCTAGTTAAAATCTTGCTTTGTCTATGACATTCATATCTATTGCCGTTCTTAATACAAATAGTATATGCTAGTTAAAATCTTGCTTTGTCTATGACATTCATATCTATTGCCGTTCTTAATATAAATAGTATATGCTAGTTAAAATTTTGCTTTGTCTATGACATTCATATCAATTGCCTTTCGTAATACAAATAGTATATGCTAGTTAAAATCTTGCTTTGTCTATGACATTCATATCTATTGCCGTTCTTAATACAAATAGTATATGCTAGTTAAATTCTTGCTTTGTCTATGACATTCATATCTATTGCCGTTCTTAATACAAATATTATATGCTAGTTAAAATCTTGCTTTGTCTATGACATTCATATCTATTGCCGTTCTTAATACAAATAGTATATGCTAGTTAAAATCTTGCTTTGTCTATGACATTCATATCTATTGCCGTTCTTAATACAAATAGTATATGCTAGTTAAAATCTTGCTTTGTCTATGACATTCATATCTATTGCCGTTCTTAATATAAATAGTATATGCTAGTTAAAATTTTGCTTTGTCTATGACATTCATATCAATTGCCTTTCGTAATACAAATAGTATATGCTAGTTAAAATCTTGCTTTGTCTATGACATTCATATCTATTGCCGTTCTTAATACAAATAGTATATGCTAGTTAAAATCTTGCTTTGTCTATGACATTCATATCTATTGCCGTTCTTAACATAAATAATATATCCTAGTTAAAATTTTGCTTTGTCTATGACATTCATATCTATTGCCTTTCTTAATATAAATAGTATATGCTAGTTAAAATTTTGCTTTGTCTATGACATTCATATCTATTGCCTTTCTTAATATAAATAGTAAATTTCCAGATGGAAAAGAAAAAGTGATTGAGTATGCAAGCAAATCATTGAATGAGACAGAAAAGAATTATAGTCAAATTGAAAAAGAAGGCCTAGCATTAGTGTTTGCAGTACAAAAATTTCATAAAATGCTATTTGGTCGAAAGTTTATATTGAGAACGGATCATAAACCGTTATTGGCCATTTTTGGCAAAAATAAAGGAATTAAAGTGTTTTCTGCCTCAAGATTACAAAGATGGGCATTGTTATTGACAAATTACGATTTTAAAATCGAATTTGTAAGTACCAACCAAATGGGTATGGCTGACACATTGTCAAGATTGATAAGTGAAAAAAGTGAATTGGAAGATAAAGTGATTGCATTAGTTTCAAAAAGTGAAAATTGTAGTGATGAGGATTCATTGATAGTGGAAGAGTCAATTAAATATGTATTGAACATAATGCTGGATGAAGTGCCAGTAAGTGCCGAACAAGTGAAGAGTCAGACAGAAAATGATAGTGAATTAAAAATGATTAAACAATTCATTAAAAATGGGTGGCCAAAAGTATTGAGTGATCAAGCATTAAGTATGTGGTCGAACAGAAGACAAGAATTGGAAGTGATCGATGAGTGTATAATGTGTAGTGGAAAAATAGTGATCCCAAAAACGTTGAGAAAAAGTGTATTGAAAGTATTACATGAAACACATCCGGGAAGTGCAAAAATGAAAGGAGTTGCCCGGGAGTATATTTATTGGCCAAACATTGGTAGAGATATTGAAGATTTGGTCGCAAATTGTATAATGTGCCAATCAGCGGCGAAAAGACCAATTAAAAGTGAATTGCGACCATGGCCAAATACAAATAGAAATTGGGAAAGAGTGCATATTGGATTCTGCTGGGCCGTGTAAAGACGGAAAATTGTATTTTATTGTAATTGATGCGCACTCAAAGTGGCCTAAAGTGTTTGAAAATATGACAACCTCAGCAAAAGATGTTATAAAGTGTTTTGAATGGCTGGGAACCCATTACGGGTACCCAGAAACAATAGTGTCTGATAATGGAAGCCCATTCCGTTCAAATGAGTTTAATGTGTTTTGTCAAAATAAGGGGATTAGTCAAGTATTTAGTGCCCCATATCATCCACAATCCAATGGGCAAGTGGAAAGATTTGTGGATTATTTTAAAAGGATGATGACAAAAAATTGTAATAAGAAGAATTGGCTCAGTGAAGTGTTATTGTTTTATAGAGCCAGTCCTCATGAATCATTGGAAGGGAAATCTCCTAGTGAAGTGTTTCTTGGAAGAAAATTGCGATTGAAGTTAGCGAGGTTAATACCCAAAAAAGTGACCTTCCAAGAAAATAAAACACCTCAACAAGTGAAAATGAAAAGTTGGTTTGACAAACACCACGGAGTAAAAAACCGAAAAATCGGTAAGTTAGTGTATTTCTTAAATTACCGAAAAGATGGTAAAGTTAATTGGTTGAATGGGGAAGTGGAAAGTAAAAGGGGAGTTATTATAAGATGTACTCGCCCGTATTGAATGCCATTGTAACTCGGCATGAAAATCAAATTAGAAATAGAAGTGTTAGTGAAGATTGTAATGAATCGTGGAAAAGTGAAGGTGTAAGTGATAGTGTATTGAAAAAAGTAGATAAACCACATAAATATTGTTTGAGAGAGAGTATTAAACAGCCTCAAAAATTAGTGATGACTAAAGAAGGTGTAAAAAAGTATCCTGAAGAGGCTATAAAGTACCCAGTGAAATTAGTGAGATCAACAGTGTGGACAAATCAAATGGGATCAAACCAAAGACGAAGGACGCAATTGGGAACAAGCCAAAGATGGAAGACGCTGAAGAGATGTAGCTAATAATAATTGGCCGTATCTGAAAATAATGCTGCAATCATATTTTTTCCTTCATTTTTTCCTTTCCATATTTTTCCTTATTTTGTACAGAAAGGTCAGACTTTTTCACTCGTTCACTTCCAATGAATTTCCCTGTGGCATGTTCAAATGTAATTATAGAGAAGATTAAAAGCAAAAAATAAAAAAATATTACATTTTTGTGTTGTATAACATGGACAGACAAAACACGGACGAAGACGGACAGAACATACGGACGAACACGGGCAGACAAAACACTGACGGACTCGGACAGAAAACACGGACGGACTCGGACGGACACAGACAGACAAAACACGGACGAACTCGGACAGTTTTGACAAAACACGGACGAACTCGGACAGACAGCAAAACACGCACACACATCGGACAGAAAAAAAGTAAATGCTCACAAAATTGAAGAAAAATAATCTATTGCGCTTATAGTCTTAAGGCACAAATCAGAAATAGAGAGAAAAATATGAGAAAATTAACCATTTTTAAGAATAAGGAAAAAATATGATTGCAGCATTATTTTCAGATACGGCCTAATAATTTAAATATTATACAAAAATATTTAAATAATGAGGAAAACCAACAAATAAATAATAAAAGTATTTCTGGAAATGTTGATGCTGGTTTGAATATTTATTTAAAATAATCTTCCAAAAAAATTCAGAAATGGAAACATTAAGTGAATTAGACGAAACATCCTCACCTATTTACCCTCATTTATACAAAGAAATTGATGGATTACCTCATTTAATTGTTCAGAGCTTAATAATTGGTGGGCGGGTTCCTCGAAGTATTTCACAACAATTAGAAATGATGGATGAAATGTCTGCCTCAAATAATACATAATATTCAAAATTTATATATAAATTTATTTTTTTTATTTAAATTATTAAATAATTAAATTTTCTTTTGAAATTTACTACATATTTAGGAAATATTAAATTTAGAAATAGTTTAAAAAAATTATTTAAATTAAATTTTGTTTGTTATTAGAGAAATGAATTAAAAAATTAAAACTTCATGAAGAAAGGGATAACCACTGCTGGGCCTAACCTTCGTTCACCTCCTCTGGCTAAAAATACCTGAACTCTATATTAATTTAAGTACACTAATGCCACCCATTGATCGAAAATGTTTTCGATTTTTTCAGATTTTTCGATGTCGAAATCTTTCTCTTATCTTCTATATTTCATTTAAGATAATATTTTTACAATTTTTAAAATTGTTCTTAGAAACATTTTCTAAAATAAACCAAAACAATTATTTTTAAATAAAAAAATAATTAAATAAAAAAGGAAACCTTTCAAAATTTTAAAAATAATTTTTATTTTTTTAAATTTTATTTCTATTTTTGATTTTTCTTGGAATTTTTAATTTTTCAAAAAAAGTTTTCAAATTCATGATATCCTAAAATAATAATATTTTTATCATTTCTGAATAACAATGGCAATATTTCTTTTATTTATTGTAATTTAAATAATTATAATTTGAAAAATAATTTTTTTTCAAAATATTTTCTTTTATTTTTAACTTTGAATTTTCTAAAATATTTTTAAATTTTATTTATTAAATTATTTTTAGGCAAACAAAATATATTTTTCTATTAATTTATTTTACCCCATCTGGAAATGAAACATTCCTTCGCTTTTTTTAAATTGATGATGAAAATTGTCAAAGAATTTATGGGTGTAAATCCTTATAACATGTAATAGTTAGGTCCCATGTGTAAAATAGCGGAATATAATTTAAGAGAAGACTAATACATATACTTTATTTTAACTAATTTATTTTTAAATATGCTATATAGGTATGTATTTAGAGTAGTGGATAAAATTATAAAGTTTAAAACTTTGTAGATAAGTTTAAGGCTGTGTAAATTGACCATAACAGCGAAAGGTATCCAAAAGTTTCCTTTGAATATCATCTGTTCATTTTTGGCCCAATTTGTCTTCTTTAAAATTGACTATAACATCGACTCTATTTTTATTTTTAAATAATTAAAAAAATATTTTTCGAAACTATATTTTAGTTAAAAAATAATTTTTTAATTAAAATTTTATTCTATTAAATTCTTTTCCCTCTCAAAAATTACCAAAATTTTCTCCCACATGAATTTTAATAAATTATAAAGAAAATTAATTTATTAATTTCTCCCTTCTTTTTTAAATTCAAAATAATATTTTCTCATATTTTTTCCGATTTGTGGAAAAGGAATAAAAAAATTTTACTTTCATCATTGGCCCATTATTCTTTCAAAAATTTATGTGACTATTTAATAGCTGAAGCATATTTATTTTTCTGACTTTTGAAAATATTTGGTAAGTCATTTAAATAAGGACAGACAATTTTTTAAAATTACGCTTGACTTTAAATTACTAAAATCATTATCGGAACCCTGATTAAAATTAATAAAATTTCAAAAAATAATATTTTATAAATTAATTTTTTGGTATAAAATTATTATATTAAGCAATTTTCCAATTGAAAATCAAATTAAATTTATTTTTAAAAATTATTTTTATTACAAAAAGTTGTTAATTCTTTTATTTCTTAAATTTAATTTTCTTCTAAATTTCAAATTCTTTTTATTTGTAAAAAACTTTCAAAGACCACCACAATTAATTCTAGTCCCCAGCTAATTTAAATAAATTTTCTTTTTTTTCGGAATTCTTTGCAAACTAAAACACATTTAAATTAGATCTCTGTCTTTTGTTTTTGCTATTTTTGGAATTAAAATAAAAATTTTTTTGTTGAAATTGAAAGGTTTCTGTCACGAATTTTTAATATTATTTTTATTTACAAAAATAATTTTTGGAAATAAAAAGATAATTTATTTATTTAATTTTAATAAAAATAGTAAATTAAAAATATTTTTAAATAATTTTAAATAAAATTAAATAACTATAATACTATAATATTTTTAAAAATTTTACTTTAATAAATCAAAAAAAAAATCCTTCCTTTTTTGTTTTACGTAATAATATACCCAAAATATTTTTGAATTATTAATATATATTTTTGTGAAAAAGCCTTTTATGGGGGCTTTTTTCTTTATTATTCGACAGACTCCCACATTTACTTATTAATTTTTCTAATATTTTATTTTAATTTTGTTAATTATTCCTGAGGGTATAAATTAGATTTTTAACTTTTATTCAATAAAATATTTAAATAATAAAATCTAAATTTTTATTAGAAATGGTGAAAAAAATTTTAATGATTTTAAGGTCGTGATTTAAAAAAAAATTTTTTTTTCTTGCTAAAGATTTTTGATAAATTTCACATTTAATTGCTATTAGATTAAATAAATTTAAATAGGTATTTAAAAATTAATTCATCTTTATTGTGGTTATTTTAGAATTTTCAGAATCTCCACTTCAACTTCCATTTTACTTTAAAATAATTTTTTAATTTTATTAGCTTATGATTAATTTTTTTAACCATTTATTTGTATTTATTACGTCAAATTAACAAAAATAATTAATTATTTTTTAATTAAATTATTCAAAAAATATTAACCAATTCGAATATAAATAGAAACAAATAAAAGGATTGCCAGTTATTAATTTTCGTCATTTATGGCAACAACTTTTAAGTTTTATTTTAGAATTACTTGCCATATTTAGCAAATTAACTTTATTTAATTTTATTAGATAAATAAATTTATTTAATTTTTTATAAAATAATTTCCAAGCCCCCACGTTATTACTTCTTTCATTTTTATTTTAATATTTTCTTAGCTTATTTTAGCCTTATTAATGTCTGGTCTATAAATCATTTGTCAACTAGCTCCAAAGTCTCTAAATTATGTAAATGTTACTTCAAAATATTTAGGACAAAAGTAGGAAGTAAAATTTTTGAAAGAAATTAAAAGGACCACCAGTTAGAGGGCATTCTGTGTAAGAACAACGTCCTTTGCTTTCAAAATAAGTTTTAAAATAATTTTTTATTTTTATTTTTTCCAGAAATTTTTTGGAGTTAATTTAAGTCCCATTGCCCCGTAATTCTCCAAAAAAGGTTTTTTTATTTTTTTATTTTTTTCATTAATTTAGTAAGCATCCATTAATGTTCTTCTTCTTCGAGAGGATGAGTCTTTCAACAAAATAATTTATTTAAAAAACAAATTCATTAAGTCTGTTCTTTGAATATTTATGTAGAAAATATTCCTTTGCCTATTTTAATTTAATTTATTTTTTTGCAAAAATTTATGTAAGTTAATTTAAAATTAAAAAATTTTTTTAAAGAATATACACAAAAATTGTCGGTAATTTTCAAAGTTTTGACAAAATAATTATTTTTTTATTTTCATTCTCTTTTAATTCTGATGAAGAAGTTTTAATTAAGAGGATATTCCCTCCTCTAATATTTTTATTTTTAATTAAAAATATGTACAAGTACATACCAGGGATGTGCTTTTCGCCTTTCATATTTCGCTTTTTAAACAGGGTTGGGGGCACGATCCGGCCCGGTCCGAAAGATCGAGTCGGACATTGAATTTTGGCCCAAAGAAGACTCGGTGGGCCGGCCCGATAAAAATGTGGTCCGAAAAATTACTCGAACGTCTGCCCGACTGAAAACCCCAACCCTATTTTTAAATTTACTTTCGTCTTTCGCTTTTTTTTAAAATCTGTTTCTGCACTCCCCTTAGAACCTACGTAATACCACTTATCGTACCCACGTAAATTTGTATCTATTTTCTCTTTTTCTTGAAACAATATTTTGTAAATTAAAAAACAAAGAAAAAGACCAAAAACCGACAAAAAAATTTTTTAGTCGTGAGAGAATAATAATAAAATAAACTTTTCTTCTGTGCTTTGGTCAATTTATTTTAGAGTTATATTTAATAAATTCTTTTGTTTTTTACTCAAAAATGCATGGTAAATTTTACCTTTTTTCCTTCAAAAAAAGCTCATTTTCTTAAAAACCAAAAAATATTTAGTCGTTTGTTTAAAAAAAAAAGATTTTTTTATTTTCATTAGCGTCACACAAAATATAAGGGAGAAAATAAACCCTCAAAGATGGCTTTTACAAAAAAAAGTTTAAAAAAAGGGAAAGAAATGTGAGACAAAACTCATTAAAAAACTTAAATCCTTTTAGCTATTCTTTTTTGTTTATTATTTTTATTTTTAAATCAATTTAAATTCGAAAATAATTTAAATTTTTAAATTAAATTATTTAATATTTGAAAAAAAGAGTTTTGTTAATTTTTAAATAATCGTTTTAAGAATTTTATTTAGCAGGTTCTGCTGATTAATTTAAAATTCTTTGCCCTATTCGGTAAATGTCCAGCTCATCGTCCACATCAGAGGTGGGTCGAAATTCCGATTTCCGACGTTTTTTTCCTTCTGATTTCCGAAAAAAATTTTGATTTCCGATTTCCGAGTTCCGACTTTTGAGCCAGTTCCGATTTCCGACACCTCTGACTGTTCCGACCCCCTCTGGTCCACATGTCCGCAAATGACTTTCTGCAAAAATTAATTTTTGCTGCATTCTGCTCCTTTCCTCTCTCTACCATAATTTCCCTAAGGACAAGGGGTTGTTCCTCTACAAGTCTTGCTAAAAATTACAGTCGAACAACTTCAAAAAGTTGTCCTATAAAATTTGGTAACTTGCCTGTATCGGTGTATTTATGAGGAATTCTTTAATAAATTAAAATCGAAACATTTATTTTTATTTAAATAATTTATTCATTCTTTTTGTTATTAAAATATATTCATCGTCCCTCTCTCTATTTATTTATTCATCCTCCACTTCCGTTTTTTATTTTTCAATTAATAATTCTGTATTTGACAATAAACAGACTCTTAATTATATTATCTATTTTCTAACGAAAAAAATTCTAAATAATTTGGAATTGTGTAAAGCTGCCAATTACACTTATATTTTTTAATAAAATATTTTTATAAAGAAAATTTTTCTTTTATTTTTTAAATAAAAAAATATATGTACTCTTTTCTATCTATATTTTAATTTAAATAATTACTTCCTAATTAATTAACATCTTATCTTTTCCTTGTTGTGATTTAATATTCGTCTGGAACTAATTATTATTTAAATATATTTTGATTTAAAAAAATAATTTTAGATAATTTATTCCATATAAAAATGGAAAGCTCAACAATTAACCAAACAAAAATTTTATTAAATATTTCTGAAAATTATAGTAAGGATAAAAATCTATCATTAATTATGGAAGAACAAAATAATTGTCATTATGAGGTATTTATATTGGAAAATAAATTAATTAATTAAAATATTTTATTTTAAAGGGGACAGAATATATTGAAGTTAAATTTATTTTGGTAAATTAATTATAATTTTTGATTTAAAAAAATAATTTTCTTTCAGATTGGTGTTTTTGCTAGTGGATTAGCTTTAATATCTTTTTTGCTTAATGCCTTCCTTGTAATTTATTTATTTAATATTTAATTAAAATTTATTTTTCCAGGTTTTAGTTTTTGCTTTAAATCCAAAACTTGGCCGCTCTCCACTTTTTTATTTTGGTGTTCTGGCAATTTTAGATTTGGCTTTGGCATGGCTTTATATTGCATTAATGGCAGTGCCCGCTTATAGTTAATTACTAATTAATTTATTTAAATATTATATAAAATTAAAAATTATTCTCAATAAACCCAAAAAAACTTTTAAAGACTTTTTTTTATTTAATTGTAGAATTTTTGCCTTCTACAATTAAATAAAAAATTATATATAATTTTTTATTTTTTAAAGTGGACAAATTTAAATTGCTTTGGCTTTACCATTTATTTGTTTCATATTTACGTCCAATGTTAACACTTTCAAATTTTGCTGTTTTTGCTTCTGTTTTGATGATTTTATTGGCTACAACAGAAAGATTATTGCTTACATTTGAAGGAAAACAAATAAAAAAAGCTAGAAAGTAAACTGAAATTTTTAAAAATAATTTTAAAAAATTTCAAAGGATTTTGGAAAGAAATAGAAGACAAGTTACCCTGTTTGTAATTTCTATAGCTTTTGCATATAAATTATGTACATATTTTGAAATTGAATTAATTGAAAATAAGGATTGTGAAGGGTAAATTAATTAATAAAAATATTTAAATTTAAATATATTTTTTCTAAAGATTTGAACAATTTGAAGTAATTTCTGCTGTTCATGCTTATAATCCTAATCCTTTATTTAGGCTGTTTGGTTTTGCTAATTATAGGTAAAATTAAATTATTTTAATTTAAAATAATTTTTGGAAATTAATATGTAGTAAGTGCCAGGGGTATGCCAAAATGTGATTTTAAAAAGCACAAGCTGGCACACACTATTAAGCACAATCAACCACTATTTTTACTTATATTAAACCCAAACTAACAATCAACCTCAATCAAAACCATATTTTAGAATTGAAAAATATATCTCATAATAGGGGGTGGGTGTCTTAAAGTGTGGTAGTTATTGCTTAGATGTCGAGAAAGTTTTTCAAAAACGTATCTTAAATTTAAAATTCCCTTAATTTTAAGAATATCTAAAACAAAATTTGATTCAAAATTTAATTTTATTTTTTAAAGATTTTGGATGATGTTTGTTATTCGAAATTTGGTACGTAATTACCTATTTTTTATTTAGAAAATCTTTTTAATTAAAAGGTTGATCACATATTGCCATTCTTTATATTAGTTATTTTAAATTTCCACATTGTTCGCGCATTAAGAAGAGAAAGTAAAAGAGTTATTAATCAAAATAATTTCAACAAAAATTGCTCACAACATTCTAATAATTTTTGTTCTTCTTGTTTATTATGTAACAATAATATTCAACAAAATTCATTAATATTAAATGGATATGAAAAGGCTAATAATAATACTAGCTTTAGATCAATCAGAGAAAGTTTGAAAAATAAGAGTTGGCTAAGAAATAAAAATAAAAAAATAATTGTAAGTTTAATTAATTTAATTTTGTGTATTTTTTTGATAAGATTTTGAGTTAATTAAAATTTGGTTAAATAAGAAAAATTAAATAAGTAATGTAAATAGCTGATGGACATTAATCTGTGACAGACGAAATAAGTTTTTTGTTATTTTCGTTGATTTTTGAGTTTTTTGAAACTGGCTCTTATTGATGGATGCCTCGCAACTGTTTGGTGGTTCTGGGTATCCGAAACCTAAAAAGAGACCCGGATACCCAAAATTTACTGTTCAAGTGTAAGTTCCGGTACTGGAGTTTTTCCAGGATTCGCCAACCTTACTCGCAAGCATAAAAAAGATATGGTCTTATTATGATTGATTGTGTCATGGTGTATAAAATAAATGAGAGGGGACAAATTAAATATTTTAAGAAATAATTTTTTTTGATTTTTTGTTTCAAATTTAGAATATTTCTAATAATTTTTTAAATTAATTTTAAAATAAATTTAAATTAATATTTTTTAGAATATTAATAAAATTGAAGACCAAACACAAAAAAAGAATTTAAGAGCAGCAACACGAGCACTAATTTCAGTTGTTTCAATGTATTTAATGTCTAAAGTATTACAAGTTGCTGTTACCTTCTTTGAAACATTTTCACCCGAAAGACTTACTGAGGATGAGTTTCGTCCAATTTATTCTTATGCCAACGATATTATTCCTATTTTGACATTACTTTCCAGGTTTGGTTAATATAAAAATATTTTTATTTATTTTTTAGTACTCTTCGATTTCCAATTTATTGCGTTTGTAATAAACCAATGCTTATAGCCACTCGTGTTAGTTGATATACATATAAATATTAATTTAAAATAATACAGGGAACCAGGGATTGCGCCGACCCAATTCACGAAACACAAAAATCGTGAATTTGATTTTCTGTCGGTGCGATCCCTGCAGTGAACTTTAAGTGTGCGGGACATCCTATTAAGACAGTCACTTTAACATAGGTAGATTTTTTGTCCATGAGAGACATCGTGAAAATAAGGTTCCGATTGAGTACTAGATTTATTTTAATAAATAATTAAATTAAATATTAAGGACTACATATAAAAAAGAAACACCACTTTATTTGACATTTATCTAGAAAATTATTTTAACAAATTAATTTTTGAATGACAAACCTTTAAAATTACCTTAGATAAAAATCAAATTTTTTATTAAGGCCTAAAAGTTTATAAATTGTTCTAAAGACATCAAGAATATTTATATTAAACTAAAATCAAAAACAATATTTCTTTAAATTTCTAGGCAACTTTAAAAAGAATTTTGCATCGTACAACAATTTCTGCACCTAAAAAGAAAAGAAAACGGTTCTCATCAAGTTCATTCTCAGATTCTTCAATTTCATCAGAAATACATTCTGGATGGCATAATAATTATCCTTCATTAATTTTAAATAAACAATTTAAATTAAAAAATAAAAAAGAAGAAAATAAAAATTGGAGAAATGGGGGAATTAATTTAAATATTAAAAATGATTTTGTTGAAAAAGAAAATTTAAAAAAAGTTTGTACAATTGCAAGTCCAGATGAAGACAAAACAACAGAAAATGAAGAAGAGGAAGAATTATTTTGTTAATTTTAGAAATTATTATTTTATTTTTTTAACTGTATTTTTATAAGTATTTAAAGCATATATGTATGTAGCTGTTTAATTCCTAAGGCTATGCAGGAGGCGGCGTGATGTAATGGCCCGGTCAACTAAAGATTCGGGAGCCTTTTGTATTAGCTTAGGGAGAAATAATAGCTATAGCTCAGTTAAGCTTTACACATTGCTTTATTTCAAAATAGAAAATATTTTTTATTTAGATTTTTAAATTATATTTGAATTCAGAAAGTAATGGAAGCTACAAACTCATCGAATATAAAGGGATATTGGGGGGGGGGAGTGTAATCGGGCTGAAGGGCTTCGAGGTTGCTCAAGCCCATTAGCAATTCACCTTACACTACATTTTATCTTAAATTAAGGAAAAATAAAAAATTATAGAATTTTGTCCAAATTGATTTGTCCAAGTTGAGACAAAAAAGTAAAAAAAAGTTTTAATCAATTTGCTCCTATTTTTGATTTAAAAATATGTTTAAGAAAATGAAGAACAAATGGAACTTGCAACAATTTTCGCTAATTACCCTGATGAAGGGCCGTATCCAATTATAATTATGTTCTTATGGTTATAATTAGGGTTGGTCCCCGAGCCTTCGGGGTTGAAAAAGTCGGGGGTCGGGGTTTTCGGGGTTGACAAAGTCGGGGTCGGGGTCGGGGTTGCTCAAATTGTTCGGGGTCGGGGTCGGGGCTGAAAATAATGTCGGGGTTCGGGGTCGGGGTCGGGGGTCGGGGTTGAAGTGAAAATTTTACAAAATCCAGCATTTTTATCAAACATTACTGTTCAAAATCAACATTTTTATAAAAAAAATCAACTTAATCTTCATTATCATTATCTTCACTTTCTGAATCTGATTCGATATTATTCGAAGGCGCAAGAAGTACTTTATCCAAGTTAGCTTTTACTACGAGTATTTGCCTGACAGTTTTTCCTGACAATCTAAAATTATTATTTTTTTAATCACAAATAAATAAAACCTATTCCTGAGAGTATTAGCATATATAAGTCCCGCTTTCGAGAAAAGCCTCTCAGAACAAATGGAAGTTGCGGGAATACAATGCAACATTTGAGCAATTTTAGCCATTTCAGGAATGAACTTCCCATTATCTCTCCACCATGAAAATAAATCACTATCAACTGGTGATTTAGAAGCATAAGTGCCGCAATTTTTTCATCTGCTTTTTTTTGAGGCTCATCCTTACCAAGAAATTTTGATATATCCAGATTAGTCTGTTAATAAAAAATCTTATTTTATTAGTTTGCTCTTACTGATGTTGATGTATTCTTTTGCAAAAACTTCTCATATTCTGCCAAATGCATAGACTTAAGATGGTCCCATAAACCTTTTGTTGAACTTTTTTTACAAGAAAATTTATTTTCACAAAGCTTGCACCTAGCTGATTCATCAGCCGTTGGTAATTTTACAAAAAAATTCCAAATATCAGAAGATTTAGTTGACATTTTAATATAATTTATAATTAAATCTAAAGACCTATATAAAATTACAAATTCAAAATGAGTTGTGTATAACCAAACTATGAATAGAAAAAGCTAGTTTAAATTTTGTCATGAAAATATTCTCTGTGAATAGAGAAAAATAAAAATAGTTCTTTTCCTCTTTTTTTTAGTTGTCTTTTCTTTCTTTTGTTTTATCAGAATATAGCAGAATGCCAACAAAAAAATATATAAAAGTTAATTAATGCAGTTTGAGTCGGGGTCATAAAAATTTTTCGGGGTTCGGGGTCGTCGGGGTCGAACTTTCGGGGGTCGGGGTTTTCGGGGTTGGGAATGTCGGGGTCGGGGTCGGGGTTTTAGGTCAAAAAATGTCGGGGTTCGGGGTCGGGGTCGGGGTTAGTCGGGGTCGGGGACCAACCCTAGTTATAATTAAAATCTTTTTAGGAAATTTTAATTTTTAAAAAATAATCAAAATATTTATTTAAACCCCAAATTTAAATAATTTTAACCCAAATTTCTTCTTTTTTAAATTTTCTTTTATCAATTCTCATTATTTTCTTTTTATTCTTCTTCATCTCATTGTCCATCATTTATTTGAAATCCCTCAACTTTTCCTTTCTTCAAGTTTGCTATAACACTTTCAAATTGGCGTTTTTGTCTAGTTTGTTCAAAAATCAAATTGCCTTTCTTAGCTTTTTTCTTATTTGCCAAAACAATTAATGACGGATTTCCAATATTAATTAGTACAATTATTAAAATAAAAAAATTGAAAAACAAAAATTTCATTTTATATTTAATTTAGCTAAAAAATTATTAAAAATATATTTTTAATTTAAAAATCCCTAATAGAAGCCCATGCCCTATTAGAAGCCCATGCCCTAATAGAAGCCACCCGATAGGGGGCTACTATTAGGGCATAAATTTTTTTAAAAAATTAAAAAAAATAAATTTACTGAAAATGTACTAATACCTAGAAGTCTTAAGCTTCTATTTTTCAATACCCCTCATTGAGTGGGCTTCTAACAGGGCATGAACGGATTTGGAATGGGCTTCTATTTAGACATTTATGGTATTTTACTTGTGGTTAAATAAAAATATAAAAAGATAAAATGAAGGAAAAATTATTTTTAAAAAGTAAAAAAAGTTTTTAATTTTTTAATAAAACGAGAAAAAATATTTGAGAATATTTTCTATATTAAAGGGATAAATAATATTTTTAATTTTTTAATTTATTAATTAAACTAATATTTTTATGGCTATTTAAATAATTATTTTTTACTTTATATTTTTCATGTGATTTTCATCTTTTTTTAATTTTGTATATTTTTGAGAAAAAACTATACGAAACACAAAATTATATATTTTTTGGAATACTTAATTTGGGTATTTTTGTAAAACTGTAGTTTATTTTTTTAAATTATTTTTGTAGTTTGGGTATTTTTAAGTAATTTATTTTTGATTTATTTTTTTAAAAAATCTTTATTAAATATTAAATTCCATTTTTGGCAAAAATATATTCACGTGTATTTTAGATTATAATGTTGATAGAAGCTTTAATATTCCAGAGATAATAAAAAATCGAAATCAAAATTTCGAAGCATCTCTGCTTTGGAATAAAATTGTTTATTTTGTAAATAAAGTAATGTGAAATGCACGTGAATATATTTTGCTAGTTTTTTAAAAAATTATTTTAAAAATAATCATGACCTATCCTATTTGAAAAAATATACAGCTTATCAAGGGCTTTCGAATGATATAAAATTCATTTTATTGGATCAAGCATTAAAAAGTTATAAGTTCAATTTGAAAATTATTTTTTTAAATTTGTCAGTGTTTAAACTTCATTTTTTTATTATTATACTTTAATAATTAAATTGAATCTTTTTGTATTTTTCAAGGGAGAAAATGATGTAAAATCCAAAAAAGAGACAACACTGTCTTTTCGCAGTAGAAAGTTAAA